AACAATCATTTCCCCAAACACCACACCATTCCATACCCCATTTCCAATACCTTCTAACACCCTCCTATAACTCCACACACCCAACCCATCAAAAACTTCAACATTTCCTTCAACCCCCTATTTCCCACAAACAAAACCTCCCCCACTTTCTTACTTAACACCCTCCACTCTTTCCTCTCCCTCTACTCCCCCCCCTCTTCAAATTCATTAACATCCTAAACAACATCCTTCACTCACACATTCAATCTCACCCACCTCTCCCACATTACCCAACCTTACAAACATTCATCAAAACAAATATCCCCCTACATTCTCCAACCTTCAAAACCTCCTTCAAAATTCAATACCTTCAATTCACCTCTCTTCCAACTCATTAAACTATTCTCCCCCCTCACCCCACCTACATACCCCCACTTACAACAACACTACCATACACATCTACAAAATACCAACCATTCCTAAACTCTCTAAATACACTACCTATAATTCTACTACTTCCCCTACTCTCCTAAACAATACTAAACCTACACTACATCTTCAACCCTAACTCCTAAATACCCCTATTCTACCACTTACACTTCAAATAACCCCCTTCACCTATTCTACAACAACCCTTCACCATACTTCCCTCCTACCACTTAAACCTCCTCCTTTACCCTTATCAAATCATTTCAAACAATTCCAAACAAAACAACACCCTAAAACCCCCCAACAACCCTTAAATATCACATATCAATCCTCTAAATTTCATCCCAACTCATTTACCAACAACCCTCACTTCACCCATATACCACTTCCACCTATTATCATCCCTATAATTCATTAATTTCATACCTCATACACCCCTACCCCAAAATTCAAATCCACTATTAACCACCAATATTCACTCCTCCACAATCCCCCCCAACTTCCACCACTAAATAAAACAAACATATTATATATCAAACCCCTTTTAATCCAACCACCACATCCTCACACCCCCCCCCCAATACCCCCACCCACCACACAACCATCCAAACACCAATCACCATAACCAAATCCCCCCTCATCCCATACCCCCCCCTAAAATTCCTAACCACTTTACCCTCACTAATTTTCATAACAAAAACCACCAAAAAAAAAACCATTCCCTTTCCAATACACCCAGTAGTCTATGAAACCTTAGTCGTAGATGCAATTTGTATAGTCGAATTTCCATCTATATGTAATACAACAATAATGGCACGTGTCTCAAAACTCACTTCTGGTTTCGTACCCATATTTCTATAATAAACCCATTAAACAATTATAAATGCTTTATTTCAATATTTACTGGATATTCTAAATTAAAAATTTAAAATAAATTTCATTAAAAAAACCCACATACAATCAAGAAACGAAAAACGCTAAATCAAAAGTCAAGAATTCTGAGTTCACTTCTTTCGAAAAATTCAAAACTAAAACAGACAGAAATTGAACACATTCAATTACTTACTAAAACCTATTTGGACTTACGCATCACAAATATTTGGAACTGCTAAAAAGACTCACTTAAACAAACTGCAAATCTTTCAAGCAAAAACATTCAGAACAATTACAAAAACACCTTGGTACGTTAGCAACATAAACTTACATACTGACCTCCATATCCCGACTGTTAACGAACACATACGAACTCATTACAAACGATTCCATGACAACTTACAAGGACATCCTAATACACATAAGAATGACATGGCCACTACGAATATGCCAGGTAACGTCTGTAGGAGACTGAAGAGGAGCTGGATGAGGGACCTACTCGCCTAATGTAGATATCACGCCGAGTGAGGTGCCGCTGGGCACTGATCCTCCTCATGCCTTTCATGACATTATATTTAGCAATCGATCTCACATTCACTGGTTGTCATCACCATTATGACAGGTGTGAATAAAAAAATTAAACCAAATAAAAAATCATTAAATGTGTTATGTACATTAACTTACCTTAGAATGAATCTCAGAAAATAAATGGTAAATATACAATAGTACAAATTAATGGAACCGTTGTAGGTAAACTAATAATAGTATACTTATAGTATATCTTACAAAATAAAGAAATCCTGAAGAAATAATAAACAGTTTTAAGTTGAAAGAGGATTAGTAGGATGTTTCTTGTAGTTTATGATTAATATGTTATCTCTTGAGTTGAAATTATTTTATTAATCTTGAAGATTTTGAATTAAATACAAGTAAGTCTAAAGTTTTGACCGGTACTGTATATGTGTATAGTCTTAAAGAATAGGTTTGGAGTTTCTTTAATCTCACAAGACCGCGCCTCATTTAGGCTTCAACATAGCTCTTCAGCCGGCAGAAGATTACTGGAGCTAATAACGTGAGTAGCGAAGAGAGCTTCGTCATGAGGGCCCCGTCGAAGAGAGAAGACGGATAGCCCCGCTGGGACGGCTGGGGTGCCAACAGTCATCCTTAGCTCCTCCTGTAATACAACACATTAATGTCTCTGCATCAGCTGTCCTCAACTCCTAGTCTACCACCTGATTCCACTTGGATTAATGCTTCTTTTGAAATTCCATCATGTCCGAAGAAGAATTAGTGGGAAATTGAAAAGCCTTGGGGAAAGATTTTTGAAATAGTATCAGAGACAACATGTGTCCCAAAGCCCAACAGTGCCTGACAATATTGTAGGCCGTAGGTACCAATACTTGAAATATCGGTTAGTGTAACATAATAATACTGTTCAATGCATAGAAGAGGTTAGGTGCAAAACGCCATACCTAAGAGTTAGTTTAATAGATAATTGTAAGTTGATCCCAATAGATGTATTTTATTTATCAGAAAGGATTGACTTGTTTGAAGGTTTTATTTGTTTATTTAGAAATATTACATTCTGTCACAATCAAGGACATTTATAATAGTGTTCAGAGAGCACACTCACACTCTATTTAAAATAAATAAAAATAAATAATACAGAAACTAATAATAATAAAAATAAATGTATATAAACAAAAGAACTAACCTAATCAAAATAATAACTAAAACACATGCATACTATACAATATTTACAGAATCTATTTACTCAGAAGAACTCCAAGCCAAGCCTTTCACCCAACTCGTGGAAGGAAAGGCAGGACTCTAGGAGATCCCAGCGCCTCGCACTGAGCCGCATTACTGGTATTAAGAACCAGTAGAGTCTGAAGAGAGGCGCTATAATCACACATACTTGGCTTGAGTGGAGGATCTGGCCATTGCCAAAACTCCAATATATGCTTATTCAAAATGCCAATATATGCTTATTCACAGGAGGTCTCTGGGCCACTACCGCTTCAACCTTCGAGGAGGATTGTAAGGATGGGTGATGCTGGATAGGGATTGTGCAAGGGGATTTGGATGATAAGTAAGGTTCTAGTGAAATTTGGAGAATTTTTCTGAGATAAGGTCTAGGACAAATGGGAGATTAAGGTCATGGTGTAAGGTTTTGTTAGTTATATAGAACGGAGCATCAACTATTGTTCGAAGGACTTTAGATTGAAAGGATTGAATACGTTTGATGTTAGAAGATTTTGCTGTCCCCCACAGTTCAAGTCCGTACGTCCATATAGGTTTCAGGATTGTCTTGTAGATAAGTAATTTGCGGGTGTAACTACAGTAAGGTTTTGATTCCTCAGTAAATACCTTTCAAGGTATGATTTTCCTGCTAATATTGTGTAACCTGTTGTTAGATTCTAAATGGATTGAATTACTTCTTTGCAAAGTCGGCATTCATCACTAACACCCTAATTAAATAAATATGTTTGGTACGAGTTTATAGCTACTATTTGATCCTGTATAGCAAGACGAAAACTCTCTGTTTCTGGTAACAGTTTCCCTTTTCCAAGTCATTCAATCGAGGCGAAATGACTAGTTATTATCGAAGTGAGGCCATCGCAAATTCTACCGTGAAGCTGTTTATTGCTCCAATCTCTCGCCATTTCCTTATTGTTTTTTTTTTTTTTGCTTTTTTAGGTTAAGCTGCGAGGTTAAATTAGATAACTTACTGCCCATTGTCATAATGATAGTAAATACTGATGAGTCGCTGTGGGCTACATTATTTCTCAGCTGCATTTTCTGTTTTTGAAACGTTTATTAAACTCATTTACAAATATTTCACAGGATTAATCCTTAAACTTTAAGAGCTAGTTTACGCCTAAATATTCAATGCTAGTAGGTCCGTGCGAAAAATTCGCACAGCATATTGTTATCAAATAGTAAATTAATAAGAAAATAAAATAATGCAACGTATCAAAAGATAAAGAAATCAATCGTTACTTTATCGATAAATATAATCGACAAAGAAAACAAAAATTGGTTTAAATCTTCTTTAATGCTTGGAACCAACATGTTAAAAAATTTCCATAAGCTGTATCTTTGCTAAAAATTGTCCGATTTCGATGATTTTTTTTCCTTTTGTAGGGAATTTAGCAAATAAAGTTTGTTTCCTTTCATAACTTGTTTACTTGAATTTTCGGGGTGATTGAACAATCTTTCCTGAATGAAAGAGAAGGAAGCCTTCGAAATTGGTGGCTCAATCTTGAGATTAGGTGAAGAATTAACGATGATATGGCTTGCCGATCAAAAACACCATCGATAAATAATATAAACCCCTCCTCTCTCGACAATAGAAGCCTCAAAACGAAGAAATGATACATGTATTCAATGACAGTACTACAATTAACGTAAGGTTGTGTGGATGCGAATCCTATACCTAGCCTTATCTCGAAAATAGTACGTTTTTGTCTGGGTCTTGCTGTACGCATCAAAATCTTCAAGGTCCAATTTGTTCCGTATCGATCTACAGACCTACCACCGTTCCAGTATTGAAGCCTAGCAAAATGTTTGTATCGACTTTATTTATTTTAGAAAAAAAAACAAAAGTGGAGAATACGATTCGCTAACCTCCCATGAAATTCTGAATCCAACGTTACCTCCATTCATGGTATTTGAGCATGACAGGATCTTATATTTGGTACAAAACCGATTTCGAGCCTTACTGAAACAGTATATGTGGGGGTACTCAGTTTATTTTAGCTTTTCCTTGTCCTTAATCTGGAATATCCTTTAGAAATAACTTTACATCCAAATCGTTCATATGCCATGATCCTGTTTTCGGTTGTATGATGTTTTATTTGCTTACCAATAATCGATGTTATGATTTTGTACACATTTTTTAAACTATTCACTGGTCTAAAACATTTAGGTCTATTTTGTTGATTTCCTTTCAGACTCAAATGAGGAATTCCTAGGCAGAAGGAGGAGTTTAGACATTATTCAGGATTTTATTGTAAAATGTGTCAAGGGTCCTGTATAACTCAATAAAATTATACTAAACACCCTGCAAATCAGACAAGTATTGTTAAATGAAATCTTTATGTATAATACTACAAGTATTTATTTCTTCTAGTTATAAATTGAAAGAAAAAAATCAGCCTCATTAACCCTTAAAATGACCCTTGAGTTCGACGCCGGCCTGGTTGTCCCTGATGATGGGTTGGTCTGGAGGCATATTTTTGCTGTGCTTCACGTAGAACCCAGCGGACCACTGGCCCTCCCTCTCCTCCCACTGCTTCCCGACCGAGACTTTGATGTGCTTGCGGTGCCCGAACTTCTGGACATCCAATCCAACTTGCTGGTTCGGACCTGAGCTTGACGTTTCGGTCAGGGCAACCAGGTAAGCTGTCAGCAAACCAAAAAGGATCAGCTCGTTCATTGTTCTAGAAAAGGAATAAACAAGTATAAGTTTAAAAAAAATTAAGATAAGATAAGAATATTCCTAACCTAATCCATTCTAAAGAAATTTACTTAACTGACATTTAATTTTCAATAAAAGTAAGAACATAACCAAAAGACATTAGAGAACCCTAGCGTAGTGTCCTTGGGCCCATATTATTTAATTTAATTTAATATTATTATTTCCTTAAATCAGATAAAAATCACGTTGGAGCATACACCACTTAGCAAAATCATCTGGACGATATTGCAGATTGGTCACAAGAGGATGTAAATAACATGTTAAAAGTTAAATGTAAATAATTCGTTTTGGCGGGAATAGTGAATATTCTTCCGCTTTTTGGGGAACTGGATTATTTACACTCTTGAATATTAAAACAAAACCTCGGCACTGGATATAGACTTTTTGAGGGTGTTTTACTGTTGGGAATTCGGGAACCTAATACTAAGTTAGAAGAAACAATAAGAATATATATATATATATATATATATATATATATATATATATATATATATATATATATATGAAATGTGGGACTTAGACAATACACTTTGAATGAATTGACTCACCTGGTTTGTGAGACATATAGGAAAATTAAATAAAATGACTTTTCACTCCTGTATAGTTAAATAATTTATTTCTACAACTTTAATAAATTGACTCTATTAAAGTGTTGTAACTATAGACTTGATCTTATAAATCTTGTAGTAGACTTCTCTTCTCAGGTTACGTCGTTCCGCCTCAATGTCTCAGCCTCAAGTGCCTTCTCTTCTCTCCAGCGTCCTCCTCCAGCTGTTGCTACCTGCTCCGTCCTATTCCAACCTTCTTCCTCCATCGATTGTTTATCGATATGAGACTTTTCAATGAATAATTTGTCCACTGCAGAATTGAGTACAATTCATCGTGCAACCTCACATTCATATATATATTCCTTCTCATTCCCCCAAACAATGTCCCATACAGGGGCTATTTCACGGAACAGTTAAAATGAATGAAAAAAAGAGAGTGTATAGTTCATTCTTAATCATACACCTTCCCTAAAAACATGTTCTAATAACATTGAAATTTAAGCATCAGCTGAAATTAGATACTCGTGTTTCTATTTAGACAAATAACTAACATGAATGACTAACATTAGATCAAAATGAATGGAATTAAACAGACAAGTCTTTTATCCCTGTTACTTGACAGACGTACAAATTTATGTTTCACTAACAAACTTACTCTGTATAAATATTTACTGAAACCAATTTGAACTTACAATTTAGAACTTTAAGTTACTGATAAAACCTCCAATATTAAATAATTCCGTTGTGGAGTATTGTTGAAGCACCACTCTAAGTTACAAGTAAAAAAACAATACAAGAACTTTAATGATCCAACAATTTTAATCGCTGAAAAAGAAATTTACAACTTTCACCAAAGACTTACAACATGAATCCACTTACAGAAATTCTTAAACCCCTCCAGCCCACCACAACGTTTACTTATGCCAAGAGATCTGCTGAACTGATTTATATTCTGCGTTATCACTGCAAAGTAATTTGTGGATCGCAAATTTAATTTTTGGTTAGTATATAAATAAATAGTATATTTACTCAAACATCTTGGTAGATATTTAGGGACGCATAAGAAGATTGGTATGATAGTCGGGCTCCATCTCCGAACGAAATTCAAAAATCTCTCGAATACTGATACATACCGACTACAGAATTGGGAAAATCCTAGACTAGCTCTTTAAATCTTTGTTTTTTCCATGCAAGGTGGAAATGGGTTTCATAAGAGGAAAAGCACATAGAATCAAAGTTGTAGAGCATGAATTTTTGCGTCCAGTGAGTACTAATTAATTTACTATAGGTCAATTACTTACCGAAACAAAATCGGTAATCTCCCGATGGTTAGAAATGGGCAATGAAGGTAAACGTGTTTTTTAATATTTCAACAGTATGGGTGCCTATTCTACTGAGTTATTTTTGTTTAGAGTCTGTTACGTGCAGTATACGCCTCTTTTCTACCTATCAGCCTTTTAATAAACGATGTGTCGAAAGATTCTGAATTTCATAAAGAAATAAGGAATTCCGATTCGAGATATATAATTGGCCTACAATAACAATGTCAGTAAGCAGTGGACGCAAAATTTAATGCTCTACAAAGTTGTTGCGATTGTATGGGTTTTTCCTCTTAGGCAAGTCATTTCCAAGTTACAGTGCCATTTATAGTAATTTGCCTATGTTTTTTTACAAATTTGGTAAAAATCAGCGTTGGTGGAACGTGGTTTTATATCTTACCACGTAACCAAATTATAAAGTTTATGTACTCGCAATTTGCCGTTCTTTAATTAATTAAAGGATACATTTTTCACTTTGATGCATCGCTTAGTAAAAAAAAAAACAGAAATATCGGAAAAATCTGACTTTTTTGTCAGTAAAAACTTTTCGTTTGGTGGCCCGCGTTAGCTATTTCATTTTTTACATGTCTAAACGCATATATACAATTTGAAAAAGTAAAACATTTCTCACATTTTCGCAATGGATTTCCCGTTTCGATCCTCAAATTACTGGCCTAATATTCTTTAAACCACCAGCCATTTTTGAAATCAGCGGCTGTGGAACGGCAGACAATATTCTTTTTCCTCAGAATATTGTGACACTCACACATTTTCGTAATTTACAATCAAACCTTCGCCTGCGATGAGGGGCAACAACTGCGGTTAGGGCTACTATAGTGGATAGGATTTCCCCAATTCTATAGTCGGTACCGTATCAGTGTCCGAGAGATTTTTAAATTTCGTTCGGAATGTTCGGAGATGGATCCCGACTACTATACCAATCTTCTTAGGCGTTCCTAAATATCTACCAAGATGTTTGAGTAAATATACTATTTATTTATATATTAGCCAAAAATTAAATTTGCGATCCACAAATTAATTTGGAGTGAGAAATTTTCATTAACAGCGTCCCAACGCAGAATATAAATCAGTTTAGCAGATCTCTTGGCCTATGTAATCGTCATGGTGGGCTGTAGGAGTTTAATAATTTCTGTAAGTGGATTCATGTTGTAAGTCCTTGGTGAAAGTTATATAAAGTTAATTTATAAATTTAGTATTAATTTTATAATTGGAAACATTCGAAATTCTCTAGATAGGCTAATTATTTTAGTTTTTGAAAACGAAATTGTCTTAAACGAAATCTTAACAGCGTGACGGTCTTTTTCCTAGACACAGTATATTTCAACGATATTTATAATTTTTTTTTTTTAAATATTCTATTTTCCAAGATCAAATGAAATTATTTATTTATTTATATATAAATGTATCAGGTGTACCTTCGCATTAAAGTTGAAATATATCGATCATACGAAACTTCTCTTTTCACTATTCAAGATTTCATTATAAACAATTTTGTTTTCAATTATAAAAACAATTGGCTCATCTAATTTAGTCATTTAACTGATGAAAAAATTTGTTGATCATCATAATAGAAAGAGGTTTATACTATTGTTTAAAAAATATTGAGCTGATACCATCACTATTCTCCTATGACTATCTAGACTAAATTCAGGACCATCTTTGAAAAACGTTCAAGACAAAATAAATTTAGTGGTGCAACTATCAAAGCGAATGATCAAAGCGAACATGCTTAGCTTGGAAACAGCTTATATTTTGACTGAAACGTACCAGCATTTCTGTTTTTAAAGTTGATGAAATCAAAAAAAAGATTAAACCAAAACTCAAAAATATTAAGACTTTACCTTCTATCCAAAATGTGTCTTACCTTGATGTTGACTTTAGTACATCTGAAGCTACCAGCTTTAACCGAACTATTGGAAGATAATATCCAGTTAGATAAGAATTACTATTCAACATGATTCGAAGATAAAAAGGATTAATTCCTTACATGCTATGATTACTTCACGGTTGGGTTAAAAAATATTTATTGAAATTGAGTAAAAAATCTAGAATACATTTGGAGATGGATATATGTAGTTGACTGTTGAAGTCTTCATGACGAAAAATGATCAGGATTTGCAGTTAAAAACTTTAAGTTTATTGAGTTTGCCCACGTTTCGACAAAAACATCTGGGTCATCATCATAAGAATCAAATGTGGTACAGACTCCTTTTTATCAAATTATTAACTTCCTTCAAAAACTTCGAGGAGTGATTCATCTTATCGTAACCTATCAATTTTTTCAGAAATGGGGCATTTCTTTAGTAAATTAATTAATACTAAAATGTTTAAAAGAGACATTAATAGTGTGATAAAAAGAGATCTGTACCACGGACTAAATATTTTATTGTTAGGAATTTCATTTAGATGAACATACAAATATATATATATATTGGCCTTCAATAAAAATGTCCGTAATCAGTGGAAGCAAAATTTGATGCTCTACAAATTCGTTGCGATGCTATGGTTTTTTCCTCTTAGGGAACTAATTTCCAAGTTACAGTGACATTAATAGTTTGTAATTTGTCTCAGTTTTTTTATGACAAAATATATATATACATATATATGTGTGTGTGTGTGTGTGTGTGTGTGTGTGTGTGTGTGTGTGTGTGTGTGTGTGTCTGTCTGTGTGTGTGTGTCTGTCTGTGTGTGTGTGTGTGTGTGTGGGTGTGTGTATGTGGACAACTAATTTTTCCAAGAATTATAAATATATTGTACACTTGATTAGTACCTGTAATCAGAGAAATAAAGCATCTGTTGAACTGTGGAAGCATTCTAAGACAATCTTTGTATCTTCTGGGAATTCCTCTGTGAAAAACAGGCAGATTAATCGGTTGTTAAACAAACGGTAATAACAGATAAATATAAATAACAGAATTTCTTTCCCATATTTCTTAGTGACGTTATTTAATGACGTGACGAGACGTTTATCTCTTTACGGAAACATTATTGCTATAAATATATATTTCATGGTGGCAATATAGAGGTCAGGAACACAAAGACAAAAGGCCATCATGAAATCGCATTTCTTTAATAGATTTCAATATCAGTCTCTTTTATACCTGAAAATAGTTTAATATATTATAAACATTTTCAGAAACAATTAAAGTATAATAATTTAATATTTGATATTACCTAAAAACAAAATATAATATTAATTGATAAAAATAAACTGTAGCTGTTTATGTTATGGTTACATAACCTTAATCATTAGCAATTTTTTTTTAGAAAATAATATTTTTTATTTCTTCAATTGTAATATCAAAACCTATATTTTTAAATTAAAAAAATGATAAATTTTTTAATTGAACACATATTTCCGAAATTCTTTAATTACTTCAATAATAATTTAAAAAACATTGAAGCTCAAATATTGTGTATGATCAAGGGGGAGGGGAGACGGAGGGAGTTATGGAAATCGTACAATATAAAATTAAAGTTTTTTAAAAAAATAATAGTACGATTAAATAAATGTATTTTTTTATTATTATTATTTTTTTTACATGAACCGGCCAGGAAGGACCACACGAATATCATTTCCGTTTCCTCTTCACACCCTCAGCCTTCCTCTTACTCCAATACTCTCTCATCCTGCTGGACTGTTCCTCTCGCTCTTCCTTAGTCCATTTTCTCTCTCGTCTCTCCCTCCCCCACCTACAAGAACCCCAACCACTTTCAGTTTTTCTCTACAAAGCTTTCGATCCAAGCAATCTTTATCCGTGATTTTAAGCCTGTCTAGTTCCTCTTTTATTTGTTTTGCATATCTCCCCATACTTTTATAGCTGCTAACTTTGTCAACAATTTTCTTGTTCAGTCTTTCACTATTCATCCTATACTATGTGCCCGTAGAACCTCAGTCTTCTGTTACTGACGACTGTTTCCAAATCTTCCAAATTCCTGTATATTTATTTATTGGGTTTTAGGCTGTATCCCTCTTGCGTTAAGTTGGGTCCATGAATCCTTCTCAGAATCTTCCTCTTAATCTTCATGATTTTCTCTAGGCTTGGAAAGCTGACTATTTCCATAACATATAATATTACAGGTCTTGCTACTGTACAGTAATGCCTTATTTTTGCATTTGAGGACAAATTTTTCTTGTTGTAAACATTCCTGGTGGCGAAGTTCAGTCTTTCCAGTTTGGTTATTCTTCCTTCGATTGATGCCTTATCCGTTCCGTTACTACATATTATCTCCCCTAGGTATTTAAACTTATTGGTCACTTTTATTTTCCCATATTTTGTGTCCAATATTTTCTTGGTGAAGTTGGTATCTGTTGTCATAATTTCTGTTTTTTTCATAAGAGATGTGTAGTCCCGTTTTCTCGGACATTTCTTTCAGGATGTTTACCTGTTTTATGGCTTCCTCTTCTGTCTCTGCTAGTAGGGCTAGATCATCTGCAAAGTCACTTTACTTTCACTTTGTGATTCTTCGTTCCTATAACTGCACCTGCCTTGTCCTTTCGCCAGAATATTGTCATAATTTTATCCAACACTACATTAAAAAGTATCGGTGACAGGACGTCGCCTTGCCTAAGCCCTGTGTTTATTTTGAATGGTTCGCTCATTAGTCCCTGGAATTTTATTTTTGAAATGGTGTTGGTCAGTGTCAATTTTATCAAGCTTATTGCTCCTTGGTCTACTCCGTATACCAACTTAGGGAGCAATGTATCCCTGTCTATCAAATCATAGGCCTTATTGAAGTCTATGTATTCTAATAAAAAATAAATGCATTTTAAAAAAATGGTTATAAGAGCTTTTGATGGCTTATCTCATAAAGTTTCATTACATCCTTTGAAAAAGTGGGGTTTCAGAAATATAATAATTTTCATACCACTTTTTTTTTTAATTAGGTTGGTTTAAGAAGAAAAAATGTATTACCGGATTCATTATGGATTTTTTTTTTACTGTTTTTTATCTTATGGCTGGATCCTCTTGAGTTCTTTTGGCCATACGACGTCTATCAGCCAAGTCGTTCAGTTAACGAATCGGAGGCATTGGAGACTTTATAAGTAATGCTTTTATTCATAAAGTTACAAATGGCATCTAAAATACAGAGTAATATACTATGGGTTGACTACATGAGTTCACTCCAGGTCTCCAGTAAAGAGTATGACTCAAGAATGCATCTGCATGAGTGATTTGGTCTGAGGATCATAGGGTTATATACTCAGGAATAGTATGGGGGAGGGGGGAGGAATCATTCTGGACGGTCTAGGAAGCGTCTGAATGAAGTTATAACTATTAAGAATTGATATCCTTATCTTTTACAATTGATATTAAGTCTGTGAGAAAGTGCTCTTTTGCTGAAAACGGTTATTGTTCCCTAAGTCTTGATAAGTGTCTTCTGTCCAATCAGTACATTCTAGATAACTATTTCTAAGCTATCAGAGATAGCTTGACCTGGCTATCTAGGGCTTTGTGCATTTATGCTTTGATAAAGGTCATGAGAAAGGTCAATGCATGATTCACCAATTGGCATATTAAATATTAAGTTATATAGTAATAAAAGTTAAATTAATATTATCATTATTAATATTTGTCCATTCCGTAACTGTTCGTTGGTTCCCCAAAGCTATGTATTTACTATTTGGTAAGTATATAGGTTAGGTCACTTATATAAACATAGATGGACGAATATAAAAAAATATTATATTTGTTGGGATGAGGGCTTCAGCCCGAAACTCCTCCCCCCCCTCCCCAAGATCCGCCAGTGTATATCTCTATCGCCAAAATGCTGATTCTAGCTAACTATGTTTTACGTTCTTCCTTTCAGTAAATAAATAATTAATTAATTGTTAATCAACCTAGTTGTTAATAAATAAATACTTAATTAATCATAAAATAGCCTGTAATTGTACATTGTCATGACAGCGCGACTATGAAGACCGTGGAGGTGGGAACAATACTGATCGGGAACGGGTGGCAGATGGACTCGTATGGCTCCAGTTTCCCACGAGTTGCATTCCAGAAACAATGGGATGGCGTGGGGTACGGTCCCTGCCTGTCACGGTATAGCTCCATGGAACTGCTCCTCATCTATAAACAATAGGATTAACGGCTTACAATGAGTTCTATTGTAGTCTATAATACACGATATTCTTATGGAACCGGAGACCTATTGGGGCATTCACTAGGTTACTTTAAAGAAATATCGAGGCCTTGAGATGTTTGAGAATAAGTTATTGCAGACATGTAAGGTCAGTATAGCTTCCTCACTGATTTCATTGTTTGAACAATCACTTACATTTTAAGGTCTTTAATTTTTCCTTTGAGAAGAAAATCTTGTGGTGGAGATGTTTTCGAAATGCAGTATTCCCTCAAGATTTGTGGGTTTGATATCCACGGATTTTACCTGTTCATAATTACAAAATAAATGACGAACTCAAACAATTTCCGTTACAGTATGTTTGTACATATATACATAGGTATCTTTCACTAGCAAAATGAGTGGAACGGAAATCAATTAACAAAATTTTTTGTATGTTTGGTGTTAACGAAAACGACTTTTCTTAGAAGTCAGAAAAAAATTAATGTAAGAACAAATATAAAAATATGTTTGAAATTTACAGATCACACAAACGTTTATTATTTCCAAACAATGATTTCAAATCAACAGTAACATAACTTTCCTTGTAACATACGAAAAAAATAAATAAAAGGTGATTCCTAATATTTCCCTAAATATTTTTTTTTATTTCATCATAAGTAATTTTATAAGAAAAATAAAACACAGTGCTTCAGTTGATGCGGACGGCGGATAGACAATTTTTTTATTAAAGGATTTAAGTTTTTGAAATTTTTGGACGAATACAACAGTTCATAATTGAAAACAATAAACCTAAAGGCCAATACTTAAAACTTATTGAATGAAGAACGTTCAACAACGATTGGTTCAGAAAACTGTGAAATATGATCTCATAATATTTTAAAGTTTGAATGGGAAATCGTGACCACTATGAGTTGGTTGAGCTTCAAAAGAAACAAACGAAATCACAAATATGACATCAAACATGACGTCATTTTTATTGCTTGTGATAAAATGTAAAATGAATGTAATCTAAACGCAAAACCGATGAGAAAGATTCGTATGGAATTCGGTGAATCTCTGAACATTACATGAAATCTAAATAATGGTAGTAGCTGTCACGCCAGTTACATGGAATCGATGAAAGTATAAATTGCTATTAAATTTTTTAATTCTAAAATCTTACAACCTTACAAAACATATGATGAAATAAATTTCAACTAACTTTCCATGTATTCAACACCTACCAGATTTCACAGCCGTTATATTCTCAACAGTCATATATAAATTAATTTTAATTGTTATGCGGAATTTAATTAAATTCATACTAAGAAATTTGTACACTGTTTTCCACATTTCCTCCAACTTCGGGTCAAATGTAACGAGCTTTTTTCAAATTATCGCTATGTCACAAACAATATGTTTGCAGATCCGAACGCGGGTGTATTGCTTGAATTTTTTTTTTTTTTTTTTTATTTATTTATTTAGACATATAATATTCTGTCACAGGGACAATAATTATATTGATAAATGAACACATTCACACCGTACATACAAAAAAATTAATAAAAGTAAAATAATAACTAAATAATAATAAAATTGAAAATAGAAGACAGAATTTGATACCTATTTGATGATTTGCTCATCATTCCCTAATTTCTCTCCCACTTTGGGTCATATTGAACTTGTGGTTTTTTAGATATAAGCAGTTTTTTTTTTAACATACAAACGATTACAACGCTTTGCAGCCTTGAATAACGAGAAAGCAAAACAAACTTTAATTTTTAATGCACATGATAAAATTCACGTTTACTTTATAATACTATAGTCATATTATTATTTTTAAGTATCGAACTTATAACGAATGCGTGATTTATATTTTAATTG